AAGTCATCGAACCAGAAAGCAAGCATCAAACGTCATGAAATGAGCTCACTTATAACTATTGGTGTTTTAGTAAGTGGGAAAAACTGCTCTAGACAGTCCAATCTCTCTGTTTAGTAAATTTGCTCCCCAATCCGTCATTGTTTGATTGAGTCGTCACACCTTGCACAACATTTATTGAGAGCCAATGGACGGCCCTTGTCTCTGGAAATCGCGCTCACGAACGCCAGGCATGAACGACCCGACAAATGTATTTCCTTGGCCTTGGTCGCCGCATGGCTATCAGAATGACAGGATTAGAAAGACGTTATTATGACGTCGTGGATGCCTGGATTACCTTGAAAAAGACTCCTCGAAATAGTCTGCTCATCTCCGTGAGCCTGTAGTTCAGAAACTATAGCGGCTTAGGTCTAAGAAGAGCGGGACTGTGAACTGCACTGAATGATGTTCAAAATGGCTTTTTCAGTTCAAAACCCCAACTAAATGTGGAACACTTCCTTTAAGGCACAAAAGCTCAGTATGGAGGCTCATATGCTTTACGTTGAGTCAGGTAGCAATAAATAAAGCAATGAGCTTGTTTGTACTTTTCAGCACAGGTAGCACTTGTTGTTGAATTGAATTGTTGAATTGAACTTGTTGAATTAATCTAACCATCACGGACGATGCACATAACTTTGCAGACAAGGTCATACGCCGTTTTGAAGCCTGCCACAAATGGGCGTATATTGTTAAGCCGCTTCTCAATAGAGGGGTTTTCCAATGTTGTCCCTGGACCACGTCCTGTGCGACAAAATGGTGATTTTCGAAAACTTCAACATCAATGGAAAACCATTCCGTCGTGCCTTTTGAGGCAGCACCGAAGCTCCTTCATACCTGCAGGAGTCGTTGCCAACAATCACCCTGCAACGGCGAGCAATTTATTCCCAAGCGCGGTGCCGTTGTCAACTTGGCAAGGAAACCGAACACTTAACAAAAAATTGCGCTGAATTCTTTTGTGCAATGTACTGCACACAAATGCCACCATTAGCATTACTATACCCGATTAACACACAGACACGTGGCGGGGCTCACCTTGCCGGCTGAGCATTGGTATGGACAAAAAATGAAACTGTTTTCACGTAAACGGAGGTCAGGTTGTCAAGTCATTGACATTATCATGCGCTACTGCTTCAAGGTGCACCTTGTGATCATTATCGCGAGAAGCATGATCATGAATCGATCATAAGTCGCGAGATCATGGTCTCGGGTTCCAGTCTACCACTTCCGTGGCTGAGCTTGATCCTGCCGTTGATCCGGAGCTTGCCGTGCATGCCGACCCGAATGAAAAGCCGTATGCCGAATAGAATGCCGTACATGCCGTGGCTCCGACATACCCACTCGTTGGCGGGCTGGCATTAGTACTCGAAACTGCGGATAGCTATACTTTTTCAGCAAGTCGTCTGTCATTTATCCTCAATCTCTGCCACACGCTTAAGATAAGAGTTTTCTAGACAACTGTCGGTGATTTCCCTCACACACCTGCTTGTTGCTTTGTGCTCCAGGTAAAACGGCCTCACAGACATGTTCAGTTTAGCACGGATTCTAGATATTTGCAACAGCTCACTAAATTAGCAAATGTTGTTTGTGTTGATAGCAAATGGTTTGCACGACACTTGCCGTATTATCGCGCCGCCACGTAAACAATATTTCTTTGTTCTTCTTCATCTAATTTCAACCGATTCTTTTCATTGGGCGTTCTCTGGAGGCAGTCGCTGAAAGCAGCAAAACTGCAGATCTTCATTTTCCCGATCCCCGGGCAATGAAACTATACACCTTCTGACCCTCTCTTGGGCCCCGGCTCGGTTTACCCGGAGGCGGCATTAATGGGTGCTACATCGCGGATCAAATTCCATGCATGCAATTCCAGGCGTTCTGAGCCAGCATTTTGCTCCTGCTCCAAGCTAGATAAGAAAACAATAATACGAGCTTAGACCACTTGCCTGTTTCTTCTCTTGTTAATCTCCAGCTCAACTTGACATAATGGCTAGCAATGTGCTGAGAGGACTCGGGGTTCAGGACGTTGCCATTTACACGACTTGTGAAGGTCGACAGGTATGTGAGATCGACTGACACGCGCCCGTCATTCAGACATTGTTCTAGAGTTCCTGAAGAATGTAAAAGTGAACGGATTCAAGGTCGCAGGCACAGTTCCCGACGCAGTGAACCGATCGCGCCCGGTCCGTTCATGGTGTACCGCCGTGCGTGATCCGCTAATGCAACATTCGGATTCGATTTGCGACCGATCTAGAAGAGATTCCATTGATTGCTTTCTTTCGTCCGAACGGCAGCAAGTTGGTTTTCAAGTGTATATCACTTTAAGAAAGTCAAAGGCACTTCGTTCTTCGTAAAGTGAGGCCAATGTCAAACTTAGTCACTATATGTGCCTAGTTCACCTTGAATGTTATATTGAACATGTTTCAGAAAAAGTAGGCGTTTTGCTTCCTGGTGCACTTAAATCAAACCCAGTAATACGCAAACTGTTCCCGCTAAAGTTAGCTGAAAAATAAGGTTCGTGACATCATCGCGTATTTTCATCCGCCCCTAGTTTCTCATTGGTATGCTGGACGACCCTAAAACTTGTGAATCGTGTCCTGGTCGTATAAATACGTCATAGCCCTGTATAAGTGTCTTCGTCAACGTTGAAAGGGCTGCCATGTAGTCCTCTGCACAATGCGTCGTGGAATGACCCAGGGGCTCTCGCACTGGTCGGGGCCCTCAGACGATTCCAGTGCTTACGATAAGATGGTGATGAGGCTACGATGAGAGCCAGCAGTGAAAATGATTGGCCCTGTGTCAGTCAGGGACCCAGCACCGAACGGAGTGCCCTCCATCCCGTTTCAGCCAGCGATCCGTTATGTCGAACGATATGTCATGTGTCAATTATTGGACACATATGGCGATAAGGAACTTTTGCCGTCAATCAGGGCTCCTGCGTCGATAAGAGGCCAAATACTCGGGTCAGGGGGCCTCCGGTGTGAGACAGGCGACCAGTGTGTGATTAATTTTTATGAGAGCTTCCGTATCGACTGGAGGACCTTGCCCCATGTCGCGAGCACGTTAGCCTGCCGGCAACCCACGCTTGAGCGGAATAGTCCTTTAGCTCCTGGCCGGAAAACGTAATGTGCCCTGTAGTATTCTACCACTTGCTCGGAAAAGGTCAGGCACAGGAGATGCACCATAGTAATCAGCATATGAAATACCATCAGTAATATGACCTTGAAAAAAATCACGGAGGTCTGGTTGCACCGAAGTTAACCATTGCTTATCCCTGGCGGCCTGAGCTCTGAATGTGGCTCGAAGCAAGATTCACCGTCGTTATCGGCGTGTTACGCTCAATCATTGATTTCAGTTTAAGAATAATCTTACGGGTGCGGGTTGATGACTTTGAAATTTGTAGATTTCTGGAGGTCGTGGTTTTGAATGAAGCCTGAAACAAGATGCGCTATCGTTATCAGCTTGTCATGCTCTTTTTTGATATAAGCTCTAGAAAGCATCGTAGGCGTCTGGGTTCGATAAATTTGAGCCTTATAGACCTGCGGAGATAATCATTTTAAATGTAACTCGAAACATGCCAGATTAGAGATTATTAATGAGGCTAAGTACGATTTTTCTCAAAATTACGAACTTCTTTACGAGCGACGAAATTTTTGACGCGGCTTTCTATGATGGGGACACCGTAGTGAGCATTGCAAACACTACCATTTATATGAGTCTGAGAAAATTTTCAGGGGCCGGTACAACAATCTTGAGCTTTGTCGCTTCTGACGTTCACGGTTTCACATGTGGCTCAAAATAAGATGCATCATCGTAATTAGTATGTCAAGCTCTATCGTTCTAGTTAGTTTCACAGAAATTGTACAGGTTCGTGTTCAACTACCTTGAACTGCATAGATCCCTTGAGGTCATGGCTCTGAATGTGGCTGGAAGCGGGGAGCACCAGCGTGATCCGCATATCGAGCACTGCAATGAATATGAGTCTGAAAAAAGTGCAGGCGCCCATATTTGAATGTGGGCGAATGGGACTACGAAGCTGTCTTGACAGACATGTTATATTCCCCCCTCCCTTGCGGCTGACAGGACGCCTGGGACCGATGTTTCCAGTATTATTATTGGCTATACACTATATACATATATATATATATATATATAATATATAATACGAATATATAAAATAATATATAAAGAGAGAGAGAGGGAGAGAGAGAGAGAGAGATATATATATATATACATGTATATATATATATATATATATATATATATATATATATATATATATGTATACCTTGACCGAACACTATACACCACTTCTACAGTATTACACTATTTTCCATTGCTATATTCCAGTATTTGGTCCAGTAGGTTATATTCCACTATTTGGTCTAGTATTCTGCTGGACTGAACAAATCTTTAGCCTCTCCTGGGCGACATTCTGGCCACGCCATCGAATGCCGCGACGCCTTAAGCCGTAAGCTGCCGTAGTATCTCCGGCTGTGAAGCAACACAAAACTATTACATAATGCTAGTTCAACCAGCGGGGCTCGCTGCACGATGCGCGGGCGAGCTTGCAGCGGATGATTCACTCTGCCGTGAAACCGTCGCGGACATCGTAACCGATCTCGGCGGCCACCAGTCGGCCAGTGTCTCACACGACTAATGTGAAGTCCTTTCAAATACTTGCCGCCCGACCTCACTCGGCGCGCCATCTCCCAGGGCTGTTCAACCGTCTGCGGCATCAGCGCAGCGACGCGGTAGGCCTTCCATTAGGTGCAGACATCAAGAGCATTCAGGTATTCCTTTCAAGCTTGATCCTTTCCGAAGGGAGTGCACGTGCGCCATGTGTCCCGCGCTGGGCTGGCCCGCGACATCGGGCTCGCACCGGTCCCGTCCGGCGGTAAGACTGCACTCTGCCTGGCGGCGTCAGTGGCGGCGGCGACGGTCTCGGACTGGCCCGGCAGGCGGCCGGCGCCAGTTTGACGTGCGCTGTCGTCAGTGTGGCGTCTACCGGCATAGGAGAGAGCAGCGATGGTGCCGGCCTGGAGATGGGCGTTAGCCTGCTGTCTGCTGCACACCATCGCCGCCCAGTCCACCGAGGGTGAGTGGCCTGGAGTGTGGGCGTCAGTGAGCTCGGGGTGGCGCCGCACAGCCGAACCGGACCGGCCGTGTGGGACGCTACAGTACGGCCCATGCCCACACCGGCCGGGGCCTTAGCGGCGGAACACGGAGCATGCTGTGGCTACCCCCGCCCATGCAGCAGCAGGGCAGCACGTGCGAGCCCGGGATCTTGTCGCAACGGCGAATGCTACCTCTGCGTTCTCCCACCCCCCCCCCCCCCCTCACACACTGGCTAGTGTCGAGCCTCGACGGCCCCTGGAATGGCCTGACGCGCTAGCGTAGTGTCGGCCAATCCGCCTATCTCCGAACAATCGGAATGTTGTGTTTTCCTGCACGGAAATTTATGATCGCCACCTATCTTTAGATGTCATAGAGCCAAAGTTGGGCGCAAATAAATAGCATATGCGTGCATGTCTGAGCCATTGACGCACACCATCTTAGAGCCAAGTCGTCTGGACAGATTGATTGATTGGGTGCTTCCAAAGGCGCAGCCAAGGGATACCAGTTCCTACCTCCCCCGTTCCCCCTCTTAGGCTCAGGTAAAGCCGTATCCAAGTGCCGAGGATGGAGTGCTGGGCTTTCAATGCACGTGATCACAGCCTGTATAGTTGTCTGAAGAAAGTGAATAGCTCAAGAAGTGATGTCAGAGAAATTGAAAGTAAAAGATGGCAGCAGCCAGCGTAATTTGGCTGGCCTCGCCTCCGGGATATACGCTTTCTTGGAATTCGACCAGTGGTGTTTCCTTGGAATTACACTGAGCTGCCGCTACACCATCCTTCTCCACAGCATCTGCACGTGAGAGTTTGGTAAAGATGAATCGGTGAGGCATATCCAAAGTAATTATCGAAAGCTGGAATCGAGCACGAATCTGGCCCCAGCGCAGCTATAATTCCTGAATACGATTACGAATATGATAATATAATTACTGAATTCCTGAATTTGATAAAATGCAGCAAAATGAATATCAAATCAGGTTTGCACACATCTACACACACAAACATATATATATATATATATATATATATATATATATATATATATGCATGTATATATGCACACCTACACACACATGCATATATATATATATAATTATATATATATATATATATATATATATATATATATATATATATATATATATATATATATATATATATATATATATATATATATATATATGTGTGTGTGTGTGTGTGTGTGTGTGTGTGTGTGTGTGTGTGTGTGTGTGTGTGTGTGTGTGTCTGTGTGTCTGTGTATGCGTGTGTGTTATTATCTTGTGCTTCCTATATCAAGCAGCAGGAGCACAGCTGCGATGTTTGGCTATTACTGCCATGAACGATTCATAGGCACAAAAGCCGCAATGAACTTAAGATAACTCGAGGACATGAGGAGGTGACGGGCAGTGGGACAAGACTGCCTGCCTTATAAAGTATGAAGTTTCAGTGTTTTGATATTTTCCAACATATCGACGGTATTCCAATATTGCCGTCTACTGGACAGTTAGTGCCGAACTTACACGCTGTATTAGATGTGACGTAATGGTGGAGTAGCTCAGCTTCTGCCGTGTCATGCCGACCATCTAACTTCCCCAAGCATTGTGTGGTGGTGATTTTGTGAGCCAGTTATTTTCAATACGAAATCGCATTAATTTCAATTATTTTGCACACTGTGAATAACTTTCCTATCTGATGCACCCCACCAGCCCATGGAGCCGAAACTGAATCATATTCGGGCCACGGCGGAATCGATTAGGAATCTGAGTCGATTCCGCTGTAGTCGGTTCCGCACAAGTCAGGCCTTCGGCGCAAGCTAACTGCGCCATTCGTCCTGCATTTTTTAATGGACGCCCAACGGGAGCTCGGACTATCCAGTTCCACGGATGATCTGTGCTTCAGCCTTGTAAAACGATGTGAGTACAGGCCTCTTGCTATGGCATCTAATGTCATCACAGGGCTACCCCATACCGGCCTGAGCTCTGGACCGGTGGCCAAGTGATTGTCTTCAGCGCGCCACATAAGAACAGTTGCAAGCGACGGATTTATATACTTGGGACACAAAATCTTGAGACGGTCTCCCCCCGCCCCCTTTTTCCGCCCTGCTTTCGGTGGAGGTAATGGGCGGCGCTGTGCGCTACTGACATGCATATACTCTACTTAAGACACGTGGACTGCCTTAGAGCTGTGCCCCCCTGAAACACGTCGGACACGTACGCCGTTTCCGTCGCACGTGAATATGCACGTGCAGCATGAAATCCGGCTGGCATTACCGCGGCGTTCGGTTGCATTCTTCGCGCGCGCGGCTGTCATCGCTGGTGTAAAAAGCATTGCACGGCACCCGGGTGCAGGTATGGGTGCCGGCGGGAGCGGACATCTGGTGAGCTGGGTCGATGGTCCGGACAGGTGTCAGCACGAGCTCAGCAGCGCGGCCCGGCTCGTATCCGGAGGCTCCGGCTGGCCGGCTCGTGTATAGCTCGTCTGGTGTGGTGCACGGACAACGGCCGACCCAGCAGCACTTCATGCCAGACTACGGCTGCTTGTTTCGTCCGGCTGTCCGGCTTTTTGACGGCGGCTGTTTGTTTCGATCTGCCTCGTTTATTATTATTGTTCGTTTTGGTCAAAAAATGAGTAATGATAGAGGGACTGTTCTGGAACGTTCCGTCTCCCCTCGCCTGTGGTCTTAGCGTGACTTGGAACAATAGCTGCCTCACAGCTGACGTCCACGTCCGACAATAAGATAAAGGATGGCCATTATATATGCTTACTTATCTGCCGAAGCCTTCACTGATTTTAATAGAATCATGGATGCACATGGACGGAGTAATCATTCGAGCTTGCTTCCTCATCTGGTGCGATGGTATGTTCACAACATTTCAGCCAGTTTACCTCCGGCCATTTGAAGGTGTTACGCAGTCCTGAGAAGAAATAGATGATGCTTGGCTATCAGCTATGCATGCGTCACAACCCGAATTCTCTCCTTGAAATTGCTGGGAGTCGAACCAGGGCTCGAATGCGAGCCCCTTGCTCTATCAGCTGAGACCTTTTCGGTTAACTCAGTTTGAAGAACACTAGACTCGCAATCAAGAAGGCACTTGGTTCGGATCCCCGCAATTACAAGAAGAGAATTCAGGTTGTGATGCATACATGGCTGAAAGCCAAACATCATCCAGTCCTTCTCAGAGCTCCAGAACACTTGACGATGACCGGAAAGCTACCTGGCCGAAACGTTGCGTACATTTAACTCACAGGATGAAGACGATAGTCCGAACAATGATGTCATCCGTGCTACAAATGTCACGTCTCAATCTTTCCGTAAAACCGTGATTTTACCAATACGTAAAACAGTAATTAAACAAGTATAACAGAAAAGATCAAATTACGTCGTCGTCTGCTAGGACAAGCATTTTTCGAGGGATAGATGTAAACAAAAGGTCAACGTATCCACGTGTGGGCTCCGTCGCGAAGTCAGGAGACCAGAGCTCAGTCCAGAGTCAGGGACCAGTCGCGGTCAGGTCGGAAACGCCTCAGCACTCACGAGCGGGGCGTCGTTCGAACTTTCGACCACATGTTCCGGTACGTGTGACCTTAGGCCGAAGGCTGAGCCGGAGAGCGCACGACCGGACGGCCCCCCGCCCCCGCCCCCACCCCCACTCGCTGGCCATCAATCGGTCCCCACGGACGGCAGACTCGACAGGTGCAGTCCCTGCGGATGACACGGTCAGCCGCGGCGGACGGCAGACCTATTACCGGCCGGATGAGAGGCTCACTCGCAGCAGATGTCTGCTCCACTCGAAGTGACAGCCGGTGTCGACAGACAGCAGGTTTGGCCTCACCAGGCAAGAGTCGTCTTGGCAGACGTCGTACTCAGCCCTGATATATATACATACATACATACATACATACATACATACATATATATATATATATATATATATATATATATATATATATATTCTGCCCCGACAAACGTTAGCTTTAACATTAGTCATGGGGCATCTGCCCGTGTGCAGCGAACAGGGCAGCCTTCCGAGCCGAGGCGGGACCAGCAGCACAGTAGAAGCGCATTCCGCAGCTGGGTGTGCGCGCACTGGCCACATTCCCGAATCAAGGCGAGTTCAGAAAACTAGTCGTCGTCAGGTCTGATCTGCAGGTGTGTAGATGTTTTCGCTGGTATGTTCTAGGTGTGGCACGACCGCCCCATGTCAGGATGATGACAGGCAGAGAGGCCCCTTGGCCAGTCCCCAGCTTTAAGGCATATCGATCGAGTCAAGCCACATTTTCTGGTGCTTGACCCAATTACTCGTCAGCTCACAGTACTCAGCCTTCACACGCCCGACTGCGGCGTAGGAACATCGCGCCCTTGGTAGGCGGCAGACTTCTGGCTGCTCCCGTCTCTCCGGCGACGGGATTCCCCGCCACCTCGCGTCCCGCTTTCGCCACACCTAGCAGCCAGAACGGCGCCGTGCCTCCGGTCCCTGCAGCCAGCCACCGGCCCAGCCGGGCACCGGCGCGGCCCGGCTCTGCACGCGGTCAGGCGTCAGTCGGGCCGAGAGCCGCACCGACAGAGACCTGTGCCACCGGCCGATTACCGCCGCTGCGTTCTCTTGTGTCGTTTGTCGGCGGTTACTTGCTGCGTGCAGCGGCTCTGTGGTGCTGCGCACACAGCCTGCGCCGGCGGGCCCCCGTGTGCTGCGGTTCGCCGTTCACACGTTCACACGTTCACACCTACGGGGTCCGCTCACCGTGTTCCAGCGCGCGGCGGGTGAACGGCTCGCTGCATCCCAGGCGGCATTTCTGAACCACAGAAAAATGGTGCCTGAGCCGCGGCGCCGCAGAATCAAGCGAAGCTGCACGTTCGCTGTGCATGTTTCAAGAACAGATTGTATCGCGTCGGGTCACCGAACTGTGACGTCACTTCGGAGGGCTCAAAGAGCCATGTTAACATTCGTTTTGTGTCGCTTTTTGACAGAAAAGCACGCTTGGG